AGCCCGTGCATCTTCCGTGCAAAATTTGCGCGGAGAAGGTGCGGTGACCGTAAAGCAACCTTGCGATAGCTGTGCGATTGCCGTGCGAATGCCCCATGAGTCTACGATCTCCGTACGATTTTTTTTGCCCCCATGTTTACCGAAAAATCGTACGTTTGCTACTCAATCAGTGCGAGGCCTCCGGGCGATGCCCGTGCGGGGATTGTGCAATGCCACCTACGACATGTATACGGGCTACGGGCTTACGATTTTTTTCAAATTTGTTTAACTTCTCGCGAAACAAAATCGTAAAGGCTGCGGAGCCCGTGAATCCGTACGAAAATCTCACGGCCGCCTCCTGCCTCCGCACAGAGGCCGCACGGAAAAGGGGATACGAGCAGGATACGGGCTCCGTAGACTAATCGCAGGCCAAATGTAATCCAGGCATTAAGCGGTGTTACTTTGATAAGAGGGCGTATCTTACTTACACCCATTTCTCTCAAAGATGTTTCCGTTGGCCAAAAGGGTATATCTTTAGTTACAACCAGGAGTAAACACCTTAATTTGATACTAACTTGAGAAACTAGCTGGTTATTTTTTCTGAAGGTAAATTTTGTCCACGTAACAATCATTTCCGATGAGTGTCAACGTATTTTTGGACATTTAAAGACAAAACAACCATAGAAACATTAACATATGCTCTCACACAGGATAAAGTTCACTTTAAAAAAAATATATAACGTGCATACATATTAGAGTATTTAAAACAAAATGACAAACAATCGTGGAAGTAAGAAATGCGAAAAGAGATTATATTCTTGTACGTCCCGGAAATATTTTATTCCAATATTTATGAAGTCGGGGAGACAGTGCATTCAATACAGTGTTAACTAATTACAAACAGAATGATACAAAAATGGGAATTTATCTGGTATTCAAAGCCCAAATTTATTTTTGAGTTCATCTAATTACAATATCATTTTAAACCAATTTTAGGTTAAGTTATACATTCCAGCAATTGCTTTATTATTATAGATTATAAAAAACTCATTCCGATGAAAATCCTAGATAAATTTATTGTTTTATAGATTGCCAGTTCAATTAGAGTTTTCACAAATCGCGCTGTAATACGTCATACACTGTTAAAACTATACCATGCCGTGCAACACTAATTGATCAAACTTTATGCAAGAATGATTTATGTATTATTTCATACATGAGTCGTGAAATATAAACAAAATTAGTTTGACATTTATTGGGAATCGTTGTTCAATACGTGAACAACATAACCTTTCATACAAAATAATCAACTAACTTCTCAAATTAATATCAACGCTGTAATTTAAGATTTAAACAATTCAAAATTAATTCCGAAGAGAATACATCGGTTGTGTGTTTAGATGTATCATTCTCACCAATAATATGGTAATGGTAGAAAGGGGGTGGGGGGGGGGGGGGGTCCTGGCTTTAAACAAACATACGCCCTTTTGGTAAACTGGAACTTCTTCGCTGGAAAAGTGCACGTGGTGTAAGTGAAGATAAGCCCTTTTGACAAAACAACATCGCTTAAGCAGGAGATCGAATTGGTTTGTTAAAGAAGTTCAAGTTCAAGTTCAAGTTCGTTTATTTATTTCATTTCCATAAAAAACACAGCAAATGCGAATAAACATACAAGTATAAATACATACAAGGAATGGTCAGTTATTACAATAGTTTAAAATGAAATTGGAGAACATAGGAAAGGCCCATGGTGGCTTTGTATAAAAAGTTCCCCGAATATTATAATTTATATTATTTATATTATTGAGCATATATGAGTTCGAGATATCACAAAATACAGCGATAAACACAAAATACAGCAATAAACACAATATAAAGACAAAAAACTACAAACATATGTATGAAATAATCTAAAATTGGAGGCGGGGGGGGGGGGGGGGGCAAAAAGGTTTGGAAGGTAAATTTAACGGTACTCAGAATAAAAGGTCTGTTTCATTTTTGTTTTAAATATTGAACTGTTTTTATAAAAGCGGAGGACTTGAGGAAGAGTGTTCCATATGTTTGGCAATTTTTTTTTTTTTTGTTCAAATGGATTTCTATATCAAATTAACGATTCTTTTCCTGCTCAAAGTTACCTGAAATAAATCCTTTAAGTCCTTAAAGAACCAGACAATAACATTCCAACCACTATCTTCCATGAATAGAAAGAAAGGAAAACAAGGAAAATTCAAACTCATGTTTCTGCGAATGTGATGTTTCAAGATTCACTCTTTTGCCGCTTGATTACTTTATATGTTGTGGTGTGGCTGGACAAGCGATGTTATCTTAAACAAGTCAAAATGTTGATATCCCCCCATCAAAGAAGCACCCATTAAGAGAGATAGATAGAAACAGAGATGAGACAAGGCAATGGCAGACACGATGTAAAGTAGCGTACTATGGGGTAAGATTGGAACTTGCTTTCCCCTCAAGTGATGATAACAATAAGAGGAAGAACAGTTAAAAAAATAAGAGATAAATGAAAAATGAAAACGGAGAAAGGACGAGAAAAGAAAGACTGATACTCTTGTCACACTTGTTTTGCTTAAAACCCCGTACTTTGCTTAGCCCCGTACTATCCTTAACCCCGGACTACCTTGCGCACTCTCTCCCTATATCAGCCTTGTAAATAGCCATTTCATTTTCCAAGTAATACCGTTGCCCCCCCCCCCCCCTGGGTTTGAGATTTGGTTGTTGATTCTTATCTCAACCCCTCACTTTTGTGTGTGTGTGTGTGTGTCTCTCTCTCTTTTTTAATTTTTTTTAAACAATTTTGTTTTATTTCTCCAAATGTGTAATACAAACCATAACATACAATTGAATAAAAATAAACGTGTTCAATATTGATGCTTTTACATAAGCATAATTAAACACAAACTTATTTTCAGTATATATACCTTAGCAACAGAGTAAACGTAGAAGTACCTAAACATATGTCAATTGTAATTGTAAATGTTATTCATTTATATAAAATTAAAAAAACTTAAACAAATCTGGAGATAATTTCTTGCGCACACACGCACACAGACACACAGACACACACTCATCTCTATCCCTCTTTCTCTCTCTCTGTCTCTCTCTCCCTCTCTCTCTGTCTCTCTCTCTGTCCTTCACTCTCTTTTATACACACACACCCTGTCTCTCATGCATACCTCTCTCATTTGCGCTTCAATATCGTCGGTAGTCTTTAAATGGTTATGGTCACATGACGTCACATTGCCTTAAAAGGATGTCACATGTAGCAGTCAACGTTCTCGTCGTGCAAATCTGAAATTTGCTATTGATATGTAATGCTTTCTCCGTTTCACGTGGAAAGAGATTTGCATTCACTCGTCTAGTTCTGTGGCAAAGCCCCTCAAGTGTTTTTCTTCTCGGACCTACGCTCGACGCACTTTTTTCATAGAGCGCGAATCTTATAGCAAACAAATGCTTATCTTATATTAACTGTAGAAATTAGACAACTTAATGCTCTATTATACGTTATTGTATCACTTAGACGTACTTCCTCATATTTGATGTACATGTCATTGGATTCCTAGAATTCTCAACTACAATTACTCTAAGCCTACAAATCAGTGTGCCTCCTTCAACCTATTGTTCATAATCATTATCAAGAACTAAACAAGAAACCTATCGGAATAGAAGCATGTCGAGGCATAGCCCCCCCCCCCCCCCCTCCCCAACTCTCTATCTCTCCTTCCTTCTCTCTCGCCCACGCATACACGGAGAAATACACACACAAGCGTTATCGTCGCTCTCACTCTAGGGTGCGTTCAATCAACATTTTTTCATCCTAGAATCATGACTTTTAAAGACGTTTAGTTTAAAACACGTTTCGTTCAAGCGATTTTTTCATCGGTCGTAGAAATAAACGTGTTTAAAAACACAAACATGAAACGCTGAAAAAAAATGCGTTTTGTATCACGATTCTGCAGAATCACGGTCGCTAAAATTCGATTGAACGAACGGAGATCTCAATCATGATTCTATGGCGTCATAGTCGTGAACTGCTCCGGTTTGGGCAAAAACCGCGCGCCTGCTTTTCATGCAATTTGCGTTCATTATACCATGCTCTTTATCGTGGCCTGTTCCGTTATATTATTCTTTGTTTTCCTTCTATCATTTTCTCTTTCTGTCTGTCCTTATGTTATTCTTTGTTCCTTCTATCACATTTTCTTATGTTATTCTTTTTTTTTTTCCTTCTATCACCTTATATTATGTTATTCTTTGTTTTTCATTATAATGATTCTATCACTTTCTCTTTTGTTATTCTTTGTTTCTTCCTTCTATTCTGATGTTATTCTTTGTTTTTTTGCTTATATCACCTTTTCTTATGTAATTCTTTGTTTTAAGCATTCTATCACTTCCCCTTTTGTTATTCTTTGTTTCTTCCTTCTATCACCTTCTCTTATGTTATTCTTTTAAAAAAAAATAATTCTATCACTTTCTCTTATGTTATTCTTTGTTTTAATCATTCTATCACCTTCTCTTATGTTATTCTTTTTTTTTAAAATAATTCTATCACATTCTCTTATGTTATTCTTTTTTTTTTAATCATTCTATCACTTTCTTTTATGTTATTCTTTGTTTTTTCCTTCTTGTACGAATATTTCGGGTACATGTCGTTTTTACAAAAAGTCATTATTCTGGAAGGTTGGACATTAAGTAAGTTTGTAGTAAGATTCATAATTCCTATTATGAAGAAAAAATGTTTTAAGAAGAGGCTGGAGCTCAAAGCGGTTTATAGACAGATTGAATCACTGAAATACAACCCCCACCCCGCACAGTCCCTATTATGGACAGGCACTATATTCTTGAAGATTATCACTTGATCATCTCCAACTTTGATTTGTACTAGAGACTCAAAAGTGTTAGTCACTGCTAATATAGTAACTATATATATATTCAAAAGGTCTATTAATTGTTATCCAAATATGTTCAATTTCACTGATTTCTGTTGTTTCTTTAAATCTGTCGTACAGCATCTGGATGTCACCATGCCTGTGTCTGTCGGTGAGTGGCGTGTCAGGATTGGCACGTTTATACGTCGGCGGAAGAAAAAATATGACTACAATTACTTTTGGAATAAACTTGTCAACTTGATCAAAAGAGCCAAGAATGTTCAGTCACCCGAAGAAAACAACTCAGAATGTAATACTTCGCCTCGCTCTCCTAAGACTCGGTCACAATGTGACGGTCCTAAGTGTGATGCTGTCAAGGAGAGTGGATCCTCATGTGATGTAAAAAGCCCCGGACCTGACGAGGTTTCTAACTCTGAGTCTTCGTGTGCTGAAAACAATGGTTCTCCAACGGCAAACGAGATCAACCCTGTCCCTGATACCACTGAAGTGCAAATTCCAATTCCCCGACCCTGCGTAGATGATGAATTGGACAATAGACACATAACCATCAATCTAGTGTCACATGAATACCCCCCTAATTCTACTCAAATAACAGACCAACCTGAAGTTGCAACATCAGAGTCATACTCATATGTACATGTAGCCATCGCAGGTGAGACAGATCGTATCCAAATATACAAGGAGAAGACATCCACCTCTGCACCGTCGGGGATAGAGAACCAATCACCGGGCTTGTCACCTAAACCCAGGAAAGATACAACTAGAAACTCCGATCAAACAACAACATCTAACATGGTATAATTGAGATTTATTATGTATTTTCCCAGAACCACTCCATCCCCCTTTTTTGTTTTTGTTTAAGAAGACAAAAAATGAGATAGACTAATAAACGAACAAAAAACAAACACCGAAAATGTAAACGACAATTCTTCGTCTAAAATTGTTTTTTTAAACGGGACATGTAACTAGCAAAATTGGAGCTATATAAGATGTTTTTATAGATGACAGTTTGATTATTTCAATTGCTGTAGACATTTTTAATTTGACGTTCATTGCACTATAATCATTCGTAAAAGTGTCCTTTATCCTTTCACAGAATTCGTATTCTCTCGCGATTCTACTTTTAAAAAAAATAACGTCTACTTTTTCTTTTGAAAATTGTATTCTTTTCATATCATGAATCATCTTGTCCAATGGCTACATGAACACTATTCCATCACCTCTTTGTGATATTTGTTGTTTTATAAATGTTAAAAGAAACAAGAAACCATTGATAAAAATCCCCCGTCAGGAATATAATGTGGCACAAGGATATTATCTCAGTATGGCTTGTTCATAATAATAATAAATAATAATAATAATAATAATAATCTTTTAAAATCCACTTATTAAGTTAAACCGAAAATGAAAATTCTTTTTGCCCAACTGATCGTGAGCCCGGCAGCCACTGAGCAGCGCCAGAGTTAAAAGTTTGTCTTTTATTCGTAATTTTCCCTTCGTTCTTAGGAAGTAAGGGAGAATCACGGGTCATCGACTTATCCGGTCCTCCGATCAGGGACAACCACCAGTGAAGCATATGCAATCAAAGGAAATGACTGTCCAGACATGACCAACATACTCCTATTGAGATCCGGTGACGTAGAACGAAACCCTGGTCCAAATGATAAGTAAGCAGCATGAACGAGCAACTTTGGAACATTAAAATCCATTGTTTCATATTCGGTTGAACCCGAATCCGAGTCTACGATTACGTTTAATGAAGGACAACTTAAAAAGACTAATTTTCTTTGTTAAACCCGATTCTGAACAAGCCTTTAAACTAACCGTCGGGTTTCAATTCTCGACTATAATACAGGTCATTGAGTTTGCTGGTAAAAATAATTTTTGGATTTGATGAATGAAATCAAAAGGGAAGAAGTTTTGCATATTCTTGTTATATTTGACAAGTACATGTCGTAATATTTTGCAGTGTTTGTCTTGTAGTTGCATTACAGGTGACGATATCAATTATTATAATGCAATGCAGTGAAACACTGTATTCGCAAGTCAAAGGAGCAAAATGAAAGTTCTTTTAATACTAAATTTCGCAAATATCTAATAAAGCGCTATGAAATTAATCATTCTTCTTATGTCTATAATTTAGCCCTGGAAGTCTGACCGAGCTCGAACTCTATCTCCTTGCCGACGGTATGGATTCATCAGATTTCAGGAAGGTCGGACTAGCTTTAGGATTCTCTGAGGCTCAACTAAGTCGGTTCGAGAAAGACAAGCTTGGCGACTCCATGCATGCTACCTATCAGATGCTTTACGAATGGCGGAAGACAGTACGTGATAGCGAGGCGAGGGAGAGATTGGTCGACACGTTAGAAAGCATTAAGCTGTTACAACTTGCTGATAGCGTACGAAAAGGTAATACTAATAATGGTGGGTTCATGTATAGCTATAGAAATGTATGTACAATTTCCACAATCAACCAAGGAGAGATATTTGGGTACCTGGCAGGAATTAACTCCTTAAAATGATAGTGCACTGTAAAGGCAACAATATTAAAGAATGGGTAATAATTATCGAGCGTGTCCAGTTAGACATGAGCGTTATACAAGTACCCATTTTAATTATTAGTATTTTTGCTATTATTATTATTCAGCATTATGTGCTATAAAGTTAATAAGTAAAATTGCGTCTTCTATAAAAAAAAAAAATTGCAGCAAAGTGAGGAGTTTTGGAATATTGGATTAATTTAACATTTACTATAAGGGTGTCCTCACTTTCGTTGGATACTGTATATATATATATATAGAGAGAGAGAGAGAGAGAGAGAGAGAAAGAGAGAGAGAATGTATCACGTTTGTATCCCCACTAGAGTTTGGATCAGATTAGATATGTAAAAAATTGCACATTTACTCTCAACTCCAGAATACGCGCTAACGTATGGGACCAAATGCCTTACATTTTCATATCCATATGGATAAACAGTTAAAAAGGAGGAATCTCCGTCAAGAAAGCACGTTATTATGAAAGACGCATTTGATTAGTTCATGGATTATACGAATATCAATCCAGGAGCGTAGCTTTCCAAAGTAGAAATCGTTTTCATCTTCTTTAATTATGAAATATACAAGATGATGCACATTTCAATAGGACAGTTACCGCAATATTCGCTCAATAAAAGATGATCTAAAACCCGACCAATTAACCAAAAGGCCTGACATTTTAGTATTGACCCGAGTAACCCTTCCCTGGGGCAGTGGACATCAGGGCACAATGTCAATCCATTACTCACTGTGAGAGCCCCTATCTAGGAAATAAATAATTTCTCAGCCATTGATCATGATCCACTTGCAAATTTAAATTGAGATTTGGGATGTAACGTATGCTGATATTACATTTTCTGTGATTCATGGTTAATGTCCTTTTTTTTTTTGCTGCCGCTTTTTATATTTGTTTACGTTTAAACAATAGAAGCATTATTTTTTAAAGTAATTTTAGAGACAACGTTCTTCACCATCTCATCACAGGTCAGGTTGGTGATGACATACCCTCAATGACAGAGGCGGAAATCAAGCGGGTTGCTGAAGATGTCAAACGCTATTTGGCAATTCACCTCTGTCAGATTCAAGCCGATCCACTGAACAGCGAGCTCCTACTTAAATTTGAACGGATCTTCACTAATCTAACGTTGATGGAAGAAGACAAAGGTACCAACCACAAGACACCGCTTCTATACGGCGACCTCCTCAAGACGAAGGTTAACGGAATCTATCCCAAACGCTTGTTGTTGGAAGGTGAGGGCGGTGTGGGGAAGACCACTTTCTGCGCCAAGATCGCTTGGGACTGGATCCACGGAAAAGGTTACCAAGATTTCAAACTGGTTTTTGTCGTCCTATTTCGCGAGGCAAAGGACAAGACTGTTGGAGAGATAGTCAAGTCATATCTCCCAAAAGAAAATCCTGTCACAGCCAAGAAGCTAAACAAGTACGTCCTCTCAAATCCAAAGGACGTCTTTCTGGTCCTGGACGGCCTGGATGAGTTTGCTGTCGATCTTAACAACATTCAGCAAATCGCTCTGATCACTCTCAATCAGCTGTTCGAGTCAGGGACAGTACTAATCACATCACGGCGGTGGAGATCAGATGAGATAAGGAAAAATGCCAATCTCAGAAAGGTGTTTGCTTTCATTGCCGTAGAAGGTTTCTCTGCTGAAAACCTCTCTTCCTACATCACCAAGTTCTTTCATCAAGACACAGCTTCCTCTGAAGATCTGAACCGATTCATATCGAACAACGATGTGATCAGAGAGAACATGGCCCCCTATCCCATATACACAGCCATGCTGTGCATCATGTGGAAAGAGTTTGATGGAGAGCGCCGAGAGGCAATGTCCAAGCTGCAAACATTTTCCCAGCTCTTCAATGAGATGATTGGCTTTCTGGTTGATCATTATCTATCGAAGCACATTCCATCTTCAGGTATCGTTGAAGGCGAATTGAGGGAGAATCGTTCAGATATTCGTCATCACCTGCTTCAGATTGGCCACATTGCCATCAAGGGACTTCTCGAGAGACGGTTAGTATTCACAGAAGAAGAGTTTCAAAGTTATCCCGAGTCCATCGATGTAGGTTGTAAAGTTGGTGTGCTCACCAGAGAAAAGAAAGTTCTTCCGAGGAGAGACAGAAGAGCTAATCAAAATATAGCAGTTCCATTGGTGCAGTTCCCTCATAAGCTCTTCCAGGAATATCTATCAGGAATGCATCTTGCATCTCTGTACAACCCAAACCGTAATGAGTATGACAGGTTGATAGCGAAAATCATAACGGATGCAGGGGAATACCGGTACCTACTGTACTTCACATCGGCCCAGCAGAAGGAGGTCGGATTGGATATCGTATCTCGTCTCACAGCAGGAAAAAGACAGCGTAGATATGATGATAACTTCGTCATAGATGTAGCATACGAGAGCCAAGACCAAGCAGTGGCCAAAGCAGTGGCGGATCATCTCTCCACTGAGTCCAGCAAGACACTGAAGATCACCGAGAAGATGCAGGCACACACAGTATCAGGGCATATCTTCATTATGAATCATCGTGAAGTGGTAAGGAAAGTAATGTCGAATTGTAGCAACGTATACATATCGTCTTTGTATGATCTCTTTGACTCAGTCATAAAGTTTCTATTTGATTTAAATTTAATTCTCTCAGACTTAGGATGACGTCGTTTGCTTTGAACACTTGACTGTATACATATACCCTGTATACGAAAGATGCTTTGAATCCCGACATGCGCTATGAGGCAATGCATTCTTTACAAACTTCTGTTAATTCTAAATGTTGGAAAGAAGCTTGATAGAAGAAATTTTATTTAACCATGGAGCATATTTCAAAACAAACTTCTATGGATTTAGCATGAGTTCAACTCTGATAATATTTTGAATTTGAAAACTGCAATGTACACGAAAAAACATTTACTATTATTATTTACTTTTTTGATTAGTATTAGGACTTGAATCTGTAAATAGGACTTGTGATATATTGCAGCACAACCCGTATTGCATGTACATGTTTTTGCAGTAAAACCTTGCTCAATAATATAACACTTTTAATACCTCGAATCCCAAAAGAATTTGTACGTGCATACTGTTCAAACCAGTATGATAAGGACACATACGGAAAATGGCCAACAAAATAAATGGAAATCAGTATCAATTAAGTTAATTATTTAGGATAATTCAGTATCATTTTCATGCGTTTATGTTTCTAGCCTTACAATCTTAGTTATGCATGTACCTTGTAGGATGATCTGATTATTGAGAAGTCATGTGGACGAACGGCTTCAGAGGACCTGGCTGAATTCATGTGCTCATCAGGATCACTGAGATCTGTTAAGATCGCTGGTACTATGCATGATGTCTTCTACCCGGTGCTTGCGAATAAAGCAGTCCATTCCAAGGTCATTATAAATATGTGTATTATCCACGTTGTCGTATTTTTGGTACGTTATTCTTTTAAAATAATTAATGCCATATTCAGTCAGGATAATATTTTTCCTGATGTCACAAGATTGGATTGCATAGGCGAATAATGGGAAACATAATTTTTTTTTTAACAATGCATGTAAATTTAAAACGTCTTGATGTTACTCTTTTTTTTAAAGAAGAAGAAATATTTCATTAAAACTATTCATATAATTTTATGTTTGATGTTACATTTCATGATTTGAGCAAGAGGGTTTCCAAATAAATTATTTTCGTCATCTTTAATGGCTCTAATCGTAATTACCCAATTCTTCCTTAGTTTAATAGAAGACTAACATCAGTGAATGGAAAAGAAGGAAGGAAACAAAATATCAATAGTCGAAATATTTTTTTCTCTATGGTCAGCAAATATGGGAGAGCTTGTGGGTTTACCAAATCTAAAAAGACCCCCTGCTCTCTGGCAATCCTGGATCATCCTCCACTATATTACAATGCCGTCGTAAAGTATCACATTAATAGTGTTTAATGTACGATAACACAACAGCGTTTTCAGGCTCTCACCGTAAATGTCGCCTGTTTATCTTCAACGGCAACTGCTTCACCCATCTATACCCCTTCTCCCACAGTCAGCCGGTCATAATATGATCCAGATCACGATGTCTCATTTGTATCTCTTATCCGTTTATTTAAACTTCAATGACTTTTCATTATTATAACCGTGGTGTCATACCATACAGTACTGGTTCGTGTTGAGTCTTTATATCATACCGAATGATCACACAGTTACGAGGTTAATATTACTATTACGATGTCTCATTTGTAACCGTTCAGTGACTCCCATCCTTAAAACCGTCGTGGCTTACCATACTTCTTATAAGCTATTCTACAACCCCTCCCTTTGCTCAATAGTACAATCATATTCCTGACTCGATCAGTCAAAAATCTTTTCACCTAGCTTTGACTAAACATATCAGTAATGTATAACCACTACATGTACTACATCAGTCTAAAGAAGAAATCAGTAACTATTTAAATGACAGCTTATTGAGGTGTCAAGACTTGTACATCATTACAATATAAATGTGTATTATTTTTTAGTTTTTTTTTTTTTTTTTTTTTTTTTTTTTTGGGGGGGGGGGGGGTTGTTTTTCATTGTTAGCAACGATATTAGTACAATTTCATTTGACATAATGTTACTATCATAATAGATTGAGACTCTTAACATCGCGATCCGGGATCTCAGTGAACGTCCCTCTGCATCACGTGATCTCGCTCAGTTCATCTGTAAGATGCCTCATTTGAAGGACCTGATACTCGGTAATAATGACGAGGTCTTGCTTCACGATGACTTCTACTCAACATCTTCGTCGATGGCATCATCTGCAAAGGTATTGATTTAAATATATTTTAGGTTTTTTTAAGCAAATCGCTACATGTTTTTTTTTTATACTGGAGGCAGTTGGGTAATGAGCAAAAACTTTGTTGGGGGGCAGAGCACTTTTTTTTTTCTCTCGAGTTTTTGAGGCAAAATTTAGCGCCGATTCAGTCGGTCGGTGAATAAACGATGGGGTGGGGGGAGTAAGAGCACATTATTATTTATTTATTTTTTCGGTCAAGGGGGTGGGGGAGAGACAGGCATTTGTTTTTGTTTTAAAAAAAGTTAAATTTACGTTATTATCCTATTTCTTTTAACGTTTTTTTTTTGGGGGGGGGGGCCTAGGGGGGGGGGGGTCGGCCCGGGAAAAATCGCCACGTGGCTCTGCGCCTGCATTTCAACAACATTTGTACATCACTGGTATCGAATTAGTAATAAACCACATTTGAATATTATGGGGGGGGGGGGGGGGGGTCTACAGCTCACACAAGCCCCCTATCAGTACGCCGGTGACTGGAGGTGTACTCTTTCCTATATACCGTAGTCAAACGCAAGTTTACAATTTTACTCTACCTATTGGTACACCGTTTAAGAGGAAGCAGGTAGGAAAGGTTGAACGTTTCAGGAAGTGGATGCGAAGAGCTTATACCAAAACAGAGTGAAGATTATAAAATTGATAGTGAATAATACCGTGCGACCCAGAAAATAACAACCGAGAAATATCAATGTTTTATCATAATTTAGACATATTTATAATCAATAAATGACACATATTAGTAAAGCTTAGATCCTCCTCTTTCATTTGATGCATCTCGTATGATGCATATTTATCACATGAGTGATTAAAAGTATATTGAAGGAAGGAAACCAAAAAGTCATTTGGCGGGCGGTATCTGAATTTCAAAGTGAAATTCACATTTCTAGAAAGTTCATTTTCATATGACACCTCTGATCAATCAGGAAAAGGAAGCCAGGAATAACAAAGTTCTGTTTGTTTAAAGTGATGCTTGCATTTCCATAATTTGATTAAACGTATTCGTTTTTACTGGCTGCCTGTCATAATACAAAAACAGAGTGAGAATTATAAGAATGATAGTAAACAATATACTATTTGGTACTGTGCATGATGTCTTCTACCCGGTGCTTGCGAATAAAGCAGTCGATTTCAAGGTAATTTTAAATATGTGTATTATCCACGTTGTCGTATTTTTGGTACATTATTCTTTTTAAATAATCAGTGCCAACATACAGTCAGGATAATATTTTTCCTGATGTCACAAGATTGGATTGCATAGGAGAATAATGGGAAACATTATTTTTTTTTTAACAATGCATGTAAATTTAAAACGTCTTGATGTTACTTTTTTTTTAAAGAAGAAGAAATATTTCATTAAACTGTTCATATGATATTATATTTGATGTTACATTTCATGATTTGAGCAAGAGGGTTTCCAAATAAATTATTTTCTTCATCTTTAATGGCTCTAATCGTAATTACCCAATCTTCCTTAGTTTAATAGAAGACTAACATCAGTGAATGGAAAAGAAGGAAGGAAACAAAATATCAATATTCGAAATATCTTTTTCTCTATGGTCAGCAAATGTGGGAGAGCTTGTGGGTTTACCAAATCTAAAAAGATCCCCTGCTCTCTGGCAATCCTGGATCATCCTCCACTATATTACGATGCCGTCGTAAAGTATCACATTAATAGTGTTTAATGTACGATAACACAACAGCGTTTTCAGGCTCTCACCGTAAATGTCGCCTGTTTATCTTCAACGGCAACTGCTTCACCCATCTATACCCCTTCTCCCACAGTCAGCCGGTCATAATATGATCCAGATCACGATGTCTCATTTGTAACTCTTATCCGTTTAGTTAAACTTCAATGACTTTTCATTATTATAACCGTGGTGTCATACCATACAGTACTGGTTCGTGTTAAGTCTTTATATCATACCCAATGATCACACAGTTACGAGGTTAATATTACTATTACGATGTCTCATTTGTAACCGTTCAGTGACTCCCATCCTTAAAACCGTCGTGGCTTAACATACTTCTTAAGCTATTCTACACTATTCTACACTATTCTACAGTGAATAATACCGTGCGACCCAGAAAATAACAACCGAGAAATATCGATGTTTTATCATAATTTAGACACATTTATGATCAATAAATGACACACATTAGTAACGCTTAGATCCTCCTCTTTCATTTGATGCAACTCATATGATGCATATTTATCACATGAGTGATTAAAAGTATATTGAAGGAAGGAAAGCAAAAAGTCATTTGGTGGCGGTATCTGAATTTCAAAGAGAAATTTACATTTCTAGAAAGTTCCTTTTCATATGACACCTCCGATCAATCAGGAAAAGGAAGCCAGGAATAACAAAGTTCTGTTTGTTTAAAGTGATGCTTGCATTTCCAAAATTTGATTAAACGTATTCGTTTTCACTGGCTGCCTGTCATAATACAAAAACAGAGTGAGAATTATAAGAATGATAGTGAACAATATATACTATATCTTTTATTTCATATGCAAATTCAGAGTGCTACGGAATTGCTGATGGAGGGTCATTTTTTATCATTTGTGAATACTGATGAGACTAAATAGAATAATTAAGAAACCTACACAAAAACAATCGAATCTGTTCGTCCCTGTTTGTATTATTTCTGTAACCCTTTGGAAACTGCAATGTGTTCCATGGATATGTGTTGTTACACTTTTCTGTTATGTAATATTAGTTTTTCAAAGTACTATTTTAATCAAATATAAGAATAACGTATTGCTTTTGTGAATAAATAGGAGGGGTACCGTAACATTGTGTAATGTTGAAAAATATGTCTAAGTATAGTGTAATGTCAGCAATTGTATATCCAACATACCGTTACTATTGTAACAGATCAGGACTTGACATCCACTTGTGTATCACACCCCCTCCCCTGATCATTTCGATGTGCAAATGCAGTAGAGTCACTTAGATTTCATACCGAATGGGGGAAATCCCCTCCTGTCTGACAATCATGGTCCCATCACTGTATCATGATGTCAATAACATAATCAGGGTGTTCATGTTCCCGCCGATTAAGCGCACACATTTTCCTTCAAGAGTAGTCTGTTTAAAGGTACTATGTCCTATCTGTGAAATCTGAACGTTAGCAGTGTCCTCATATTCAAATTATGCAAGGAAACCCATTTACTTGCTAGACTTTACTGTCAGACACTATTGAGTGACTGACTGGCTTTTTTTCTTCTTTGGTAATAACATACATGAAAAGAGTTGTAAAGGGTACATGAGCATTTGTCTACATCAATAACCCACTTCTTTTGATGGCCAAGATTAAACTGATTAAATCTTTGCGCAGCATAAAACATATGACCATTCGGTACAATTGTCTGAAAATCAAGACTATTACTTTTGGGCTCTATAGCCCTAAAGTCGATTTGACAACGTTATTTCCCCATTTGAAAATTTAGTTTTAAATTAGTATTATCTTTCTAAATGCAGTTGGAATGTAACTTTTTCACTTTTGGGCCTGCAAATGGGACATAGTACCTTTAAGGACTAATTAGCGACCGTCCTGACTTCTTGTTTTATTCTCCTTTATTCTGTAAGACTCTAGATTATGAACCAAGTCCTTCATTCATATTTCACCACTATTTCCTCAGTCACAAGGTCAATATGATCTAGAAAATATCATTTTCTTTATCCATTGTGCCCATCACTACATCTTTTGTATTACTGAAGGTGAACTCTTTCCTATATAGTCAAACGCAAGTGTACAATTTTAGTCTTCCTACTGGTACACCGTTAAGAGGAAGCAGGTAGGAAAAGTTGAGCATTTCAGGGAGTGGATGCGAAAAGTGACCTTTAATACAAAAACAGAGTCCAGGTTATAAGATTGATAGTAAAACAATATATACCTTTTTTCATTTCATATGAAAATTTGGAGTGCTACGGACGTGCTAATGGAGAGACAGCTATTTCAACTATGAATGCTGATGAGACTTAATATTTGAATTTAAAATCCTACAAAAAAGAATAATCGAATCTCTTCGTCCCCGTTTGTATTATTTTTATAACATGTCAGAAACTGCAAAGTGTTCCATGTATATTTGGTGATACACTTTTTTGGTATGTGAAATTAGTTTTTTCAATGTACTATTTCAATCAGATGTCAGAATAACATATTGCTTTTATAAATGAATGAGGATGGCAACTGTATCATGATGTAAAGCGTAAACATATATTTAAGTAGCGTAATGTCAGCAATTGTGTATCCAATACAATGTTATTATTATTACAGATTAAGACTCGACATCCAGTATGTGGATCATCCCCCCCCTCCCCCTTCACCCATTTTTACGTGAACATGTTATAGGGTCAGTAAGATTACCAGATGATATGCCAGGGGAAAAAAATCTCATCCTTTCTGACAATCATGGATCACCAACTATTATTTCGTCGATAACAAAATCAGGATGTTTAGGTTATTCCCTAAATAAAGCTTTCTTCATGAGTAGTGTGATTAAGGAATGGTTTACGACCGTTCTGCCTTCTTGTTTTTTCTATTTTGTTCTGTAAGACTTTAGACATGAGCCACGTCTTGTATTCATATTTACCCACAACTCCCTCTGGCAACAGGTCAATATGATCTAGAAAATATCATTTTCTTTATCCGTGATATCCAAAGTCCAAATTGGATCATTACAGAAAAACCTATTGATCACCTCTGTCATTACCTATCAGTTATTACTCAATACCATTAATGCATTATATGGGTCTCAAAAGATTCCAGGAACTATTGAGAAGTGTGCTTATTTCAGGTGACAAAAATTGTAGCTCATTACAAGATACAATGTGATTGTTTTAAGATGTTTTAATAGTTGGCAACGACATTTATATGATTTTGAACAAATTGCTGAATGTTGAGTATAGTTTTGATGGGTGTTGTTAAATATTCATTCAACATAATGTTGGTATCATAACAGATTGAGACTCTTGTTACCCCTGGTTGGGATCTCAGTGAACGTCCCTCTGCATCCCGTGATTTCGCGAAATTCATATGTAACATGACTCATCTGAAGAACCTGACACTTGACGGACGGTATCACGATGACTTCTACTCAAAATCGTCTTCGATGGCATCATTCGCAAAGGTATTGATTTAATCATATTTATTAGGACTCTTAGCAAATCACTACATTTTCTGTATACTGGAGTTGAACTCTTTCCTTTATAGTAAAACTCAAGTATACAATTTAAGTCGGCCTATTGGTACACCGTAAGAGGAAGCAGGTAGGAAAAATCGAACGTTTCAGGGAGTGGATGTGAAACGTGAACTTTCTGTCATAATACAGTGTACAAAAACAGAGTAAAGATTAACAGATTGATAGTGGGTAATAATTATATACCATTTTTGGACAACATTTTCAGGCAATTGCATTTTGATGTATTAGGGCAGTTGCTGGACACGGAACAGTTGTCATATTTCAGCGCAGAACGTAAGATCATTCCGAATTTGAGTGTGAGTTTTTGGTTTGAAGTCTTCCATTGAGCATGCATATACATGCCTACACATGTTAATGGAAGCATTACTGCACTGACTTTAAATTTTGAATTTGCATGTGAATGACATAACGTTTTTGTGACAATGGGGATACACTGGAAGCAAAGGATGGGCTTTCACATTGCCTGCATTCTTATCTTCTTGGGATTGGTAGCAGCTATTATCATTAATCCAAAAGAACTCCCCACTACCAAGTCGTTGGTGAATGTAGCTCGTGGGTTGCCTGGCAACCATAGACGATACTTGAAATCCTGTATTTCATACTACAGTAACTCTACCGCTTATTTTAACATTGAGATTATGTGTTGTGGTGATGTCAAGTCGAACCCAGGTCCTCTTGAAAATAAGCAATTTGAAGCTCGACCTATCAGCCAGTCTGTAAATCGTACCTATTCTACCTCGTCTCTACTAGATATTCGCGCTTCTGCTCATGTGCCTAATAGGCTCCCTGCCCCCGTTTGGAAACGAATTAATGACTTGGGAATTTGCCGAAAACCTCCAACCCACAGAGGTGTCCGTTCTGGTACAAAAAAACAACGTAGAATCACAGTGCTCTTGTCAAAGAAGAGAAACACGAATTGCCATCAGTCCGAGGTTAATAACCAAAATTTGATAAGAGTAAAGATAAATAAATGGAACACACCTACACTAATGAACACGAATGCCAGATCGTTAATCCCGAAACTTGATGAGCTATCAGTTATTTTATTAAACAAGAAAGTGGATGTATGCTGTATTACTGAAACCTGGTGTCAATCTACTATCCCAGACTGTTCGTTAACTATTGATAATTATCACCCCCCGATCCGTTGTAACAGGGACCATACCACTGGTGGTGGAGTCGCTTGTTATATCCATACATCTGTGCCCTTTAGTGTGCTTTCTGAATTGTCGGAAAATCAAGTAGAATCGATATGGATCAAGATGCAACCAAAGCGCTTACCAAGACGGTTTAACCCAATCATTCTAGGTACTTTGTATCTTCCGCACAACTCTAAAATTGAACATGACCAAATGTTGCAACATATTTATTCTTCCTTGGACAGTATTTTATGCAGATACCCTAGCGCAGGTATCATCCTGATGGGTGATTTCAATCACATGCCTGATGTATACTTGAAACGAAATTACAAATTAAAACAAATAGTGAAGAAGCCTACACGTCAGGGAGCAAAACTTGATCTAATCTACACCAATATGGCTGAATACTATAAGGATCCTGAAATAGAAGCTGCTCTTGGATTATCAGATCATAAGGTTGTGATTTGTTCACCTAAGCCGTCATTCTCGGCACCGTTCGCAAGGAAACGGATAATGAAAGTTAGATGTATTAGTGAAAATGCCAAAGCCTTGTTCGAGTCTGACCTCCAGAAGATAAATTGGAACCCATTGTACCGAGCTTTGACATGTCTTGATAAGTATGAGAAATTCGAAAGCTTGCTTATCTCATTGATTGAAAAACATTTCCCATTCAAGACTGTTTCGAGGGTTGAAAGCGAACGACCGTGGGTAACTGACCATTTCCGAGAATTGGTCAGTAAGCGTCAACGAGCTTTGTTTTCCAATAATTTGAGTCTATACAATTTGCTGAGGAATAAAGTCAATCGCATGAGAAAAACCTTACGCAAAAAGTACTACCAAACTAAAGTTGATCAGATAAATAATAAGCATCATCACAACTGGTGGGAAGAAGTTAAGAACCTCACTGGTCAGAAGTCTTCGTATGACCCATTATCCAACCTTTCAAATGGCATCGCAAACGGTGACAGAAGTATTTTAGCCAACATGATCAACTCCTTCTTTGCTTCGGTCTCGGAAGACCTTCCGCCGTTAGAAGCTACTGGTACGTCATCATTCCTCGAGCATAATATTTCACCTGATGCATATATCATTCCTCCTCATGACGTAGAAAGACAGTTGAGATATATTAACGTGAGAAAAGCACCTGGTCCAGATGGGATTCCTTCCTGGATTCTCAGAGATTTCTCCCCTATTCTAGCGGAGCCGGTTTGCTCCATTTTCAACGCTTCCATTGCCGAAGGGTTTGTACCGTCTATTTGGAAATCTGCAGATATAATTGCCTTACCCAAGACAAACCCCCCTGTTTCCATCGAGAGCGATCTGAGACCGATCTCCCTAACACCAGTGTTAGCAAAAATATTAGAAAGTTATGTGTGTAAATGGGTTTGGAATGATTATCTCCCCCATGTTGATCCAAACCAGTATGGGAACATACCAGGGTCCTCAACTGTACTTGCCTTGATCAATCTCCTTAACAATTGGTCATTTGAAACAGATGCTAAGAGAAAGGCTGTGAGGATTGTGTTGGTAGATTACAAGAAAGCTTTTGATAGGATAAATCACGATTTACTTCTTAGAAAGTTGGGAAATTTGCAGGTGAATCCTACACTTGTTAATTGGATAAGAGCGTTCCTCTGTCAAAGAAAGCAAAGAGTTAAAATCGATCAAATAAGATCTAAGTGGCTGACAGTTAATGGGGGTGTCCCACAAGGGACTAAAATGGGACCACTGTTGTTTATAATTATGATAACGGATTTAGGTTGTAATCTTCCCGTTGTCAAATATGTTGATGACACAACATTGTATGAGATATGTCCATATGGTGAAAATGGCACGATTCAGAATACCCTCAATGAACTTGCACACTGGTCTGACTTAAATGATATGCAGATAAATCCAATGAAGACCAAGGAAATGGTTATTTGCTTCATGAAAGACGATCCAAACTTACCATATCTTACCATCGGTGGAAATCAAGTAGAGAGGGTTCAGGATGTTAAGCTACTCGGTTTGTACCTCAATAACAAACTTAACTGGGATACCCACGTGAAAGAAACCTACACTAAAGCAGCAAAACGCTTGTACCTTCTTGTTCAATTACGAAGGGCAGGTTTAAATCAGACTGATATGTGCAGATACTATGTGGCATGCATTAGATCGGTGTTAGAGTATGCTTGCCAAGTATTTCATGGAGGTCTGACCAAAGAACAATCCGAAATGTTAGAGTCAATCCAAAAAAGGGCAGTTAGAATCATTTCTCCTGGACTATCATACTCTGACGCCCTTGTCTCTCTTAACCTCCAATCTCTTTCTGTACGTAGACAAAAACTATGCCTTAATTTGTTTACCCAAATTCGTAACCCCAGTCACATGCTAAACCATCTTCTTCCTGCTCCAAGAGAAACAAGATACTCTCTTCGGAACAGCAAAGACCTGTACCCTCCCAAATGCAAAACTAATAGATACAAAAATAGCTTCATACCCTGGTGTCTGTTTAATCTACAATGATCTTGCCAAATTTAATGTATTTTTATTGTCCTTTTTATTGAGTATATTCTCGTTAATCAAATTTAATAATTTTAATAAGAAGACATCAATCCTATTTTATATATTTGTGAATATCATACGACACCGGTTTAATAGTGTCTTCAAATTGTGTACTGGGTATTAAATTTAATTAATAATCATTATTGCCAATTTTATATTGAATTAAAATACCGTGTAGACATTTTACTTAAATTACACCCTTGTTTATTATATGAATTTTAAAATAATTGAAAATGTAAAAAATTTGATATCAATCGAATTTGTCTGGATTAATTTTTACGAATAATGCATTATACCACCACTCAATTTGGGTTTACTGTCTCTCTCTTTCTTTCAAAATCTTCCTCAATTTTAACTGTTCTGAACAATATGTTGATGTCAGTCGATATATGATTATTGGTCCATATATTTATGTTTAAATCTTGTTTTACATATCTGTTATTATTATACGACACCGGTGTATTAGTATCAAACTTGGGAGTACATGTACTCAAGCTTTGTACAGGGTATTATATTTAATTAATAATCATTATTGCCAATTTTATATTGAATTAAAGTGCTGTGTAAACGTTTTACTTAAATTACACATTTTCTTATTATATGAATTTCAAAATAATTTAGAATGTAACAAATTTAATATCAATTGAATTTGACTGGATATATTTTTTTTAGGAATAATGCATTATACCACCACTCAATTTGGATTTACTGTCTCTCTCTTTCTTTCAAAATCTTTCTCAATTTTAATTGTTGAACAATACGTTGAAGTCAGTTGATATATGATTATTGGTCCTGTGAAGTCCTATGTACCTTATAATTATGCTTAAATGCGATTGCTCTTGAGTGTTTTTTCTTTTTCTTCTTTTCATATCTATGTATTTAAAGTGTCAATTTATACAGTTTTATTGTACAAAGTATATATACATATAACTATACTGTGAACCATTTTTATGCCTGCCTTTTTACTGTATGAAATCCAACTCATGGTTGCAATAAATGAATGATTTATATAAAAAAATTTGTTCATTTCATATGAAAATTCGGAGTGCTACAAACGTGCTAATGGAGAGACAGCTATTTCAACTATGAATGCTGATGAGACTTAATATTTAAATTTAAAAAACCACAAAAATGAATAATCGAATCTCCTCGTCCCCATTTGAATTATTTCTATAACATGTCAGAAACTGCAAAGTGTTCTATGTATATTTGTTTTTACACTTTTCTGTTATGTTATATTAGTTTTTCAAGTACTATTTCAATACAATTTTAGAATAACATATTGCTTTTATAAATGAATGAGGATGGCAACTGTATCATGATGTAAAGCGTAAACACATATTTAAGTAGCATAATGTCAGCAATTGTGTATCCAAGACAATGTTCCTATTATAACACATTAAAACTCGACATACAGTATGTGGATCATCCCCCCTCCCCCTTCACCCATTTCGACGTGAACATTTATAGGGTCAGTAAGATTACCAGATGATATGCCAGGGGGAAAAAATCCCCTCCTTTCTGACAATCATGGATCATCAACTATTATTTCGTCGATAACAGAATTAGAGTGTTTAGGTTATTCCCCCAAAAGGCTTTGTTCATGAGCAGTGTGATTTAGAAATAGTTTACGACCTTTCTGCCTTCTTGTTTTTTCTCTTTTGTTCTGTAAGACTTTAGATCACGAGCCACGTCTTTTATTCATATTTACCCCCCCCCCCCCATTCCCTCTGTCAACAGGTCAATATGATCTAGAAAATATCATTTTCTTTATCAATTAAGCCAAAAGTCCCAATTTGATCAATATAAATAAACCTATTGATCACCTCTGTCATTATGGGTCTCAAAAGATTCCAGGAACTATTGAGATGTGTGCTTATTTCAGGTGACAAAACTTGTAGCTCATTACAAGATACAATGCGATTGTTTTAAGATGTTTTAATAGTTGGCAACGACATTTATATGATTTTGAACAAATTGCTGAATGTTGAGTATAGTTTTGATGGGTGTTGTTAAATATTCATTCAACATAATGTTGGTATCATAACAGATTGAGACTCTTGTTACCCCTGGTTGGGATCTCAGTGAACGTCCCTCTGCATCCCGTGATTTCGCGAAATTCATATGTAACATGACTCATCTGAAGAACCTGACACTTGGCGGTCGGTATCACGAAGACTTCTACTCAAAATCGTCTTCGATGGCATCATTCGCAAAGGTATTGATTTAATCATATTTATTAGGACTTTTAGCAAATCACTACATTTTCTGTATACTGGAGTTGAACTCTTTCCTTTATAGTAAAACTCAAGTATACAATTTAAGTCGGCCTATTGGTACACCGTAAGAGGAAGCAGGTAGGAAAAATTGAACGTTTTAGGAAGTGGTTGCGAAATTGTACAAGAACAGAGTGATTACATCACAATAAATGAACGGTTTAAAGATTGATAGTGAGTAATATTTACCGTTTTTTTCATTTTATATGAAAATTCGGAGTGCTTCGAAATTGATATTAAAATGGAGAGACAACTATTTCTTTTCTGAATACTGACTTAATAGTTTAATAAACAAACCTACACAAATACACAATCGAATCTGTTCGTCCCCGATTGTATTGTTTTTGTAACATGTTGAAAACTGCAAAATATTCCATGTATATTTGTAGTTACACTATTCTGTTATGTAATATTAATTTTTCAAGTACTATTTCGATCTAATGTCAGAATAACGTATTGCTTCTGTAAATGAATGAGGATGGCAACTATTTCATGTAGTATGTAAACATATATTTAAGTAGCGTAATGGCAGCAATTGTTTATCAAATACAATTTTACTATTATAACGGATTAAGACTGGACATCGAGTATCTGGATCATCCCCCACCCCCTCACTTATTCCGACGAGAGAATGTTGTAGGGTTAGTAAGACTACCGAATCATATGCCCGAGGTAGAGAAGGAAACCCCTCCTTTCTGACAGTCACTGATTTACAACTAAAATGTCGATAAAATAATCATAACGATAACATAAACAGTCCTGTTTAGGACTACACATCCTCAAGAAAGATTACCGAGAGTCCTTTTCAGGACTCCTCAATCCTCTCTCTCATATGGTGCACCCGCAAGCCTACTGTATAACATAATCAGGGTGTCCAGGTTCTCCCCCGAATAAAGCTAAATTTTTGTAGTGTGATTGAGGAATGGTTAACGAACGACCGTTCTGCCTTCTTGTTTTATTCTCTTTTGTTCTGTAAGACCTAATATCATGAGCCACGTCTATCATTCATATTTAACCATTACTCCCTGTGTCAACAGGTCAGTATGATCTATAAAATATCATTTTGTTTATCTGTAATGCCCATAGTCCCGATTGGATCAATATAAATAAACCTATTGATCATCTCTGTCATTACCTATTATTTATTAATCAATACCATTAATGCGTTATATGGGTCTCAAAAGATTCCAGGAACTATTGAGATGTGTGCTTATTTCAGGTGACAAAACTTGTAGCTAATTACAAGATACAATGTGATTGTGTCAAGATGTTTTAATAGTGGCAACGACATTTATATGATTTTGAACAAATTGCTGAATTTTGAGTATAGTTTTGATGGGTGTTGTTCAATATTCATTCAACATAATGTTGGTATCATAACAGATTGAGACTCTGACCATCAATTCTGAGGATCTTAGTGAACGTTCCTCTGCATCACGTGATCTCGCTCAGTTCATCTGTAACATGCCTCATCTGAAGAACCTGACACTTGGCGGTCGGTATCACGATGACTTCTACTCAACATCGTCTTCGATGGCATCATCCGCAAAGGTATGGATTTAATCATATTTATTAGGATTCTTAGCAAATCACTACATCTTTTGTATACTGGAGTTGAACTCTTTCCTTTATAGTAAAACTCAAGTGTACAATTTAAGTCGGCCTATTGGTACACCGTTAAGAGGAAGCAGGTAGGAAAAATTGAACGTTTTAAGAAGTGGATGCGAGAGTGTACAAGAACAGAGTGATTACATCACAATAAATGAACGGTTTAAAGATTGATAGTGAGTAATATTTACCGTTTTTTTTTTTTCATTTCATATGAAAAAATGGAGTGCTTCGAAATTGTTATTTAAATGGAGAGACAACTATTTGTTTTCTGAAAACTGACTTAATAGTCTAATAAACAAACCTACACAAATACACAATCGAATCTGTTCGTCCCCGTTTGTATTGTTTTTGTAACAAGTTGAAAACTGCAAAGTATTCCATGTATATTTGTTGTTACACTATTCTGTTATGTAATATTAATTTTTCAAGTACTATTTCAATCTAATGTCAGAATAACGTATTGCTTCTGTAAATGAATGGGGATGGCAACTATTTCATGTAGTATGTAAACATATATTTAAGTAGCGTAATGGCAGCAATTGTTTATCAAATACAATTTTACTATTATAACGGATTCAGACTGGACATCGAGTATCTGGATCATCCCCCACCCCCTCACTCATTTCGACGAGAGAATGTTGTAGGGTTAGTAAGACTACCGAATCATATGCCCGAGGTAGAGAAGAAATCCCCTCCTTTCTGACAGTCACTGATTCACAACTAAAATGTCGTTGATAAAATAATCATAACGATAACATAACAGTCCTGTTTAGGACTACACATCCTCAAGAGAGATTACTGAGAGTCCTTTTCAGGATTCCTCAATCCTCTCTCTCATATGGTGCACCCGCAAGCCTACTATATAACATAATCAGGGTGTCCAGGTTCTCCCTCGAATAAAGCTCAATCTTTGTAGTGTGATTGAGGAATGGTTAACGAACGACCGTTCTTGTTTTATTCTCTTTGTTCTGTAAGACCTAATATCATGAGCCACGTCTATCATTCATATTTAACCATTACTCCCTGTGTCAACAGGTCAGTACACTCTTAATGTCAGCGAGTAAATTGTGCCGAGTAAAACAAGTTGAGTAACAAAATGAGCAATTCAGTACTCAAGCTGGAGTAAGACCTTGATTTTAGTGGTACTCGTCACCCGAGTAATTTGTTACCTTCGATAAAGAGTAAATCAATGACTCAACATTGAGTACGAATTTCGTTTGTATCAATTTTGAGTAAACTACGGTTGGGTATTACGCTGCGGCAGGTGATAAATAAATCAACATTGATCTCTTACCCGAATTTACCTCGGGTGCGAGTGAAAGTTGGATCGATGGAACGTGCAACTAGCTGTCAATATGCATGTGACACCTGTTCTACACATTTTTACATAATAACAGCTGTATGTTCCTTTGTCTACCTATTAAAGGAACTGGATATTTTGTACTCTTTCATTGTCCGTCATGTGCATGTCTCGTGCATGCATGTGCGCGTGCAGAAAGATGCGAAAGAACTGAGATACACTCTTAGAAAAAAGGGTGCAAAATAAGAGTTTGCACCCTTTACATAAAAATGAACCCTATTGAAGGAAAAGGGGTTAAAAAAGGGTGCAATATAAGATTTTGCACCCTTCCCACAAAAATGAACCCTATCGACCAAAAGAGGGTGCAAAATAAAAGTTTGCATATTGCATGCATATTCATGATTACTTTCCACGTGTTCACATAAAAATACATTTATCATGATTTGTTAAGCAAATTATGACAATGCACATCAATTTTTTGATTTTGTATTTTCCTTTGGCAATCATTAACCAATATATTATTTTGTCTGATCATGTTACAATTACATTCACGTTTTAGCAATAGATATATTGATTATATGATTACTAACCAAGAAACATCATGCATGTTTTATATGTATTTGTGTACAAGCAAATTTTACAAGTATTCCTCGATGATGGGTGCAGGATTGCACCTTTTAAAGGGTGCAGGATTGAACCCCTAAAGGTGCTGCTATTGCATCGGTTTGCACCCCTAATGGAGTAAAAACATGTACTTAACTTAGTACATGTTTTTACTCAATATTGATTGAGCAACTAAGCGTTACCCAGAAAACATACTCAATATTTGAGCAAAAAAATCGCTCAAACTATTTGAGTCAAAACATGTACTCGTTAATTATTGAGTAAAATTTGGCTCAACTCATGAGCAGTTTCTTACTCGACATGAGTTGATTACGTTTCTACCCAGTACTGAGTAAAAAAGGAAACCGCTAAACAAAGAGTAAATATTGAGTAAAGGTTGACTCATTCAAACTGAGTAGAGATTTAGTCTTTTATTGAGTAATATTTTTACTCAACAGATGGGTAGATTTGTTACTCAACACATGCTGAGTAAAGTTTACTCAAAAGTCGGGTGATTTCCTTTTGACCACCCAAAAGAGTAACATTTTGACTCAAATTGAGCAGTTTTTTTTTAGAGTGTATGATCTGGAAAATATCATTTTGTTTATCCGTAATGCCCATAGTCCCGATTGGATCAATATAAATAAACCTATTGATCACCTCAGTCATTACCTATCAGTTATTAATCAATACCATTAACGCATTATATGGGTCTCAAAAGATTCCAGGAACTATTGAGATGTGTGCTTATTTCAGGTGACAAAACTTGTAGCACATTACAAGATACAATGTGATTGTGTCAAGATGTTTTAATAGTGGCGACGACATTTATATGATTTTGAACAAATTGCTGAATGTTGAGTATAGTTTTGATGGGTGTTGTTAAATATTCATTCAACATAATGTTGGTATCATAACAGATTGAGACTCTAACCATCAATTCTGAGGATCTTAGTGAACGTTCCTCTGCATCCCGTGATCTCGCTCAGTTCATCTGTAACATGCCTCATCTGAAGAACCTGACACTTGGCGGTCGGAATCACGATGACCTCTACTCAACAACGTTTCCGATGGCATCATCCGCAAAGGTATTGATTTAATCATATTTATTAGGACTCTTAGCAAATCACTACATCTTTTGTATAATGGAGTTGAACTCTTTCCTTTATAGTAAAACTCAAGTGTACAATTTAAGTCGGCCTATTGGTACACCGTTAAGAGGAAGCAGGTAGGAAAAATTGAACGTTTAAAGAAGTGGATGCGAAAGTGTACAAGAACAGAGTGATTACATCACAATAAATGAACGGTTTAAAGATTGATAGTGAGTAATATTTACCGTTTTTTTTCATTTCATATGAAAATTCGGAGTGCTTCGAAATTGATATTAAAATGGAGAGATAACTATTTCTTTTCTGAATACTGACTTAATAGTTTAATAAACAAACCTACACAAATACACAATCGAATCTGTTCGTCCCCGTTTGTATTGTTTTTGTAACATGTTGAAAACTGCAAAATATTCCATGTATATTTGTAGTTACACTATTCTGTTATGTAATATTAATTTTTCAAGTACTATTTCGATCTAATGTCAGAATAACGTATTGCTTCTGTAAATGAATGAGGATGGCAACTATTTCATGTAGTATGTAAACATATATTTAAGTAGCGTAATGGCAGCAATTGTTTATCAAATACAATTTTACTATTATAACGGATTAAGACTGGACATCGAGTATCTGGATCATCCCCCACCCCCTCACTTATTCCGACGAGAGAATGTTGTAGGGTTAGTAAGACTACCGAATCATATGCCCGAGGTAGAGAAGGAAACCCCTCCTTTCTGACAGTCACTGATTTACAACTAAAATGTCGATAAAATAATCATAACGATAACATAAACAGTCCTTATTAGGACTACATATCCTCAAGAAAGATTACCGAGAGTCCTTTTCAGGACTCCTCAATCCTCTCTCTCATATGGTGCACCCGCAAGCCTACTGTATAACATAATCAGGGTGTCCAGGTTCTCCCTCGAATAAAGCTTAATTTTTGTAGTTTGATTGAGGAATGGTTAACGAACGACCGTTCTGCCTTTTTGTTTTTTCTCTTTTGTTCTGTAAGACTTTAGATCACGAGCCACGTCTTTCATTCATATTTACCCACCACTCCCTCTGTCAACAGGTCCATATGATCTAGAAAATATCATTTTCTTTATCCATTAAGCCCATAGTCCCGATTGGATCAATATAAATAAACCTATTGAACACCTCTGTCATTATCTATCGGTTATTACTCAATACCATAAATGCATTATATGGGTCTCAAAAGATTCCAGGAACTATTGAGATGTGTGCTTATTTCAGGTGACAAAACTTGTAGCTCATTACAAGATACAATGTGATTGTGTCAAGATGTTTTAATAGTGGCGACGACATTTATATGATTTTGAACAAATTGCTGAATGTTGAGTATAGTTTTGATGGGTGTTGTTAAATATTCATTCAACATAATGTTGGTATCATAACAGATTGAGACTCTAACCATCAATTCTGAGGATCTTAGTGAACGTTCCTCTGCATCACGTGATCTCGCTCAGTTCATCTGTAACATGCCTCATCTGAAGAACCTGACACTTGACGGTCGGTATCACGATGACTTCTACTCAACATCGTCTTCGATGGCATCATCCGCAAAGGTATTTATTTAATCATATTTATTAGGACTCTTAGCAAATCACTACATCTTTTGAATACTGGAGTTGAACTCTTTCCTTTATAGTAAAACGCAAATGTACAATTCAAGTCGGCCTATTGGTACACCGTTAAGAGGAAGCAGGTAGGAAAAATTGAACGTTTTAGGAAGTGGATGCGAAATTGTACAAGAACAGAGTGATTACATCACAATAAATGAACGGTTTAAAGATTGATAGTGAGTAATATTTACCGTTTTTTTTCATTTCATATGAAAATTCGGAGTGCTTCGAAATTGCTATTTAAATGGAGAGACAACTATTTCTTTTCTGAATACTGACTTAATAGTTTAATAAACAAACCTACACAAATACACAATCGAATCTGTTCGTCCTTGTTTGTATTGTTTTTGTAACATGTTGAAAACTGCAAAGTATTCCATGTATATTTGTTGTTACACTTTTCTGTTATGTAATATTAATTTTTCAAGTACTATTTTAATCTAATATCAGAATAACGTATTGCTTCTGTAAATTAATGAGGATGGCAACTATTTCATGTAGTATGTAAACATATATTTAAGTAGCGTAATGGCAGCAATTGTTTATCAAATACAATTTTACTTTTATAACGGATTAAGACTGGACATCGAGTATCTGGATCATCCCCCACCCCCTCACTCATTCCGACAAGAGAATGTTGTAGGGTTAGTAAGACTACCGAATCATATGCCCGAGGTAGAGAAGAAATCCCCTCTTTTCTTTCAGTCACTGATTCACAACTAAAATGTCGTCGATAAAATAATCATAACGATAACATAAACAGTCCTTTTAAGGACTACACATCCTCAAGAAAGATTACCGAGAATCCTTTTCAGGACTCCTCAAACCTCTCTTTCATATGGTGCACCTGCAAGCCTACTGTATAACATAATCAGGGTGTCCAGGTTCTCCCCCGAATAAAGCTAAATTTTTGTAGTGTGATTGAGGAATGGTTAACGAACGACCGTTCTGCCTTCTTGTTTTATTCTCTTTTGTTCTGTAAGACCTAATATCATGAGCCACGTCTATCATTCATATTTAACCATTACTCCCTGTGTCAACAGGTCAGTATGATCTGGAAAATATCATTTTGTTTATCTGTAATGCCCATCTTTCCCGATTGGATCTATATAAATGAACCTATTGATCATCTCTGTCATTACCTATTATTTATTAATCAATACCATTAATGCATTTTATGGGTCTCAAAAGATTCCAGGAACTATTGAGATGTGTGCTTATTTCAGGTGACAAAACTTGTAGCTTATTACAAGATACAATGTGATTGTGTCAAGATGTTTTAATACTGGCAACGACATTTATATGATTTTGAACAAATTGCTGAATGTTGAGTATAGTTTTGATGGGTGTTGTTAAATATTCATTCAACATAATGTTGGTATCATAACAGATTGAGACTCTAACCATCAATTCTGAGGATCTTAGTGAACGTTCCTCTGCATCACGTGATCTCGCTCAGTTCATCTGTAACATGCCTCATCTGAAGAACCTGACACTTGACGGTCGGTATCACGATGACTTCTACTCAACAACATTTTTGATGGCATCATCCGCAAAGGTATTGATTTTATCATATTTGTTAGGACTCCTAGCAAATCACTACACCTTATGTATTACTGGAGGTGAACTCTTTCCTATATAGTCAAACTCAAGTGTACAATTTAAGTCGGCCTATTGGTACACCGTTAAAAGGAAGCAGGTAGGAAAAGTTGAACGTTTCATGGAGTGGATGCGAAAAGTTACCTTTCTGTCATAATACATGATCAGAGTCCAGGTTATAAGATTGATTGTAAACATTCCATACCTTTTTTTCATTTCATATGAAAATTCGGAGTGCTACGGACGTGCTAATGGAGAGACAGCTATTTCAACTATCAATACTGATGAGACTAAATATATGAATTTAAAAACCTACACAAATGAATAATCTAATATCTTCGTTCCCGTTTGTATTATTTCTATAACATGTCAGAAACTGCAAAGTGTTCCATGTATATTTGTTTTTACACTTTTCTGTAATGTTATATTAGTTTTTTCAATGTACTATTTCAATCAGATGTCAGAATAACATATTGCTTTTATAAATGAATTAGGATGGCAACTGTATCATGATGTAAAGCGTAAACATATATTTAAGTAGCGTAATGTCAGCAATTGTGTATCCAATACAATGTTATTATTATTACAGATTAAGACTCGACATCCAGTATGTGTATCATCCCCCCTCCCCCTTCACCCATTTCGACGTGAACATGTAATAGGGTCAGTAAGATTACCGGATTATATGCCAGGGGGGGGGAAATCCCCTCCTTTCTGACAATCATGGATCACCAACTATTATTTCGTCAATAATAGAATTAGAGTGTTTAGGTTATTCCCCCCAAAAAGCTTTGTTCATGAGTAGTGTGATTTAGGAATGGATTGTGACCGTTCTGCCTTCTTGTTTTTTCTCTTTTGTTCTGTAAGACTGTAGATCACGAGCCATGTCTTTCATTCATATTTACCCACCACTCCCTCTGTCAACAGGTCCATATGATCTAGAAAATATCATTTTCTTTATCCTTTATGCCCATAGTCCCGATTGGATCAATATAAATAAACCTATTGATCACCTCTGTCATTATCTATCGGTTATTACTCAATACCATAAATGCATTATATGGGTCTCAAAAGATATCAGGAACTATTGAGATGTGTGCTTATTTCAGTTGACAAAACTTGTAGCTCATTACAAGATACAATGTGATTGTGTTAGGATTTTTTGATTGTGGCAACGACATTTATATGATTTTGAACAAATTGCTTAATTTTTTAATATGAATTTTGATAGGATGTTGGTAATCATTCATTCAACATAATGTTTGTATCATAACAGATTGAGACTCTTGACCTCTCTGGTAGGGAACTCAGTAAACGTCCCTCTGCATCACGTGATCTCGCTCAGTTCATATGTAAGATGACTCATCTGAAGGACCTGACACTCCTCCATCAGTTTCACGATGACTTCTACTCAACATTGTCATCGATGGCATCATCCGCAAAGGTATTGATTTAATCATATAATTCAAGACTTTTATCAAATCACTACATGTAAGTGTATATTTTAAGTCTCCCCATTGGTACAACCGTTGAGAGGAAGCAGGTAGGAAAAGTTGAACATTTTACAAAGTGGATACGAAAAGTGAACTTTCTATCATAATACAAAAACAGAAACCAGGTTATAAGATTGATAGTGAATAATATATACCATATTTTTCATTCCATATACAAATTCAGATTGCTACTGAAGTGCTAATGGAGAGACAGCTATTTAAATTGTAAATACTGATGAGACAAAATAAATTAATTAAATATCTTCAAAAATAAACAATCAAATCTCTTTGTCCTTGTTTTTAATATTCATGTAACATGTTGGAAACTGCAAAGTGTTTCTTGTATATTTGTTGATACACTTATCTTTTATGTGAAATTAGTTTTTCAAAGTACTATTTCAATCAGATGTCAGAATATATATTGCTTTTGTTAATGAATGAGGATGGCAACTGTATCATGATGTAAAGTGTAAACATATTTTTAAATAGCGTAATGTCAACAATTTTTTATCCAATGCAATGTTACTTTTATAACAAATTAAGACTTGATATCCAGTAAGTGGATCATCCCCCCCCCCTCGACCCCATCACTAATTCTGACGTAAAAATGTCGTAGGGTCAGTTAGATTACCGAATCTTATGCCGAGGAAAAAAAAATCCCCTCCTTTTTGACAGTTACTGATCCAAAACTATATATGTAATGTCGTCCATAACATAATCAGGGTGCCCAGGTTCTCCCCCGGAAAAAGCTGACATTTTCTTCAAGAGTAGTGGGATTAAGGAATGGTTTACGACGATTCTGCCTTCTTGTTTTATTCTTTTTTGTTCCGTAAGACTCTAGATCACGAGCCACGTCTTTCAATCATATTTAATCATTACTCCCTCTGTCAACAGGTCAATATGATCTAGAAAATAATATTTTCTTTATCCGTGATATACAATGTCCCAATTGGATCATTACAGAAAAACCTATTGATCACCTTTGTCATTACCTATCAGTTATTAAAAAACACCATTATGCATTATATCGGTCCCAAAAGAATCGAGGAACTATTGAGATGTGTGCTTATTTCAGGTGACAAAACTTGAAGTTCATTACAAGATACAATGTGATTGTATGAAGATGTTTTAATAGTGGCAACAAAATTTATATGATTTTGAACAAATTGCAGGATTTTGAATATATTTTTGATAAGTAGTTGGTAATTATTCATTCAACATAATGTTGGTATCATAACAGGTTGAGACTCTAACCATCAATTCTGAGGATCTTAGTGAACGTTCCTCTGCATCACGTGATCTCGCTCAGTTCATCTGTTACATGCCTCATCTGAAGGACCTGACACTTGACGGTCGGTATCACGATGACTTCTACTCAACAACGTCATCGATGGCATCATCCGCAAAGGTATTGATTTAATCATATTAAATCACTGCATCTTTTGTATTAATTGAGGTGAACTCTTCCCTATATAGTCAAACTCAAGTATACCATTTTACTCTCCCTTTTGGTACACCGTTAAGAGGAAGCAGGTAGGAAAAGTTGAACGTTTCAGGAAGTGGATGCGAAAAGGGAACTCTCTGTTATAATACAGTGTACACAAATAAGAGTGAAGATAAAAAGATTGATAGTGAGTAATATATACCATATTTTCATTTCATATGAAAATTCAGAGTTCTACAAAATTGGTAATAGAGAGACCACTATTTCAATCGTGAATACTGATGAGACTAAATAGTTTAATTAAAAAACCTACACAAATACATAATCAAATATCTTCGTCCCTGTTTTTATCATTTCGGTAACATGTTGGAATCCGCAAAGAGTTCCATGTATATTTGTTGTTACATTTTTCTGTTATGTAAAATTAGTTTTCAAGTACTATTTCAATTAAATGTCAGAATAAAATGTTGCTTTCGTAAAGGAATGAAGTTGGCAACTGTATCTGATGATGTAAAGTGTAAACATATTTTTAAATAGCGTAATGTCAACAATTTTTTATCCAATGCAATGTTACTTTTATAACAGATTAAGACTTGATATCCAGTAAGTGGATCACCCCCCCCCCCTCACTAATTCTGACGTGAAAAGTGTCGTAGGGTCAGTTAGATTACCGAATCTTATGCCGAGGAAAAAAAATCCCCTCCTTTTTGACAGTTACTGATCCAAAACTATATATGTAATGTCGTCCATAACATAATCAGGGTGTCCAGGTTCTCCCCCGGATAAAGCTGACATTTTCTTCAAGAGTAGTGGGATTAAGGAATGGTTTACGACGATTCTGTCTTCTTGTTTTATTCTTTTTTGTTCCGTAAGACTTAAGATCATGAGCCACGCCTTTCAATCATATTTAATCATTACTCCCTCTGTCAACAGGTCAATATGATCTAGAAAATAATATTTTCTTTATCCGTGATATACAATGTCCCAATTGGATCATTACAGAAAAACCTATTGATCACCTCTGTCATTACCTATCAGTTATTAAAAAAACACCATTATGCATTATATCGGTCCCAAAAGAATCGAGGAACTATTGAAATGCGTGCTTATTTCAGGTGACAAAACTTGAAGTTCATTACAAGATACAATGTGATTGTGTGAAGATGTTTTAATAGTGGCAAAAAAATTTATATGATTTTGAACAAATTGCTGGATTTTGAATATATTTTTGATAAGTAGTTGGTAATTATTCATTCAACATAATGTTGGTATCATAACAGGTTGAGACTCTAACCATCAATTCTGAGGATCTTAGTGAACGTTCCTCTGCATCACGTGATCTCGCTCAGTTCATCTGTAACATGCCTCATCTGAAGGACCTGAGACTCCGCGGTTACTATCACGACGACTTCTACTCAGCATCGTCATCGATGGCATCATCCGCAAAGGTATTGATTTAATCATATTAAATCACTGCATCTTTTGTATTAATTGAGGTGAACTCTTCTCTTTATAGTCAAACGCAAGTATACCATTTTACTCTCCCTTTTGGTACACCGTTAAGAGGAAGCAGGTAGGAAAAGTTGAACGTTTCAGGAAGTGGATGCGAAAAGGGAACTCTCTGTTATAATACAGTGTACACAAACAAGAGTGAAGATAAAAAGATTGATAGTGAGTAAGATATACCATATTTTCATTTCATATAACAATTCGGAGTTCTACGAAATTGGTAATAGAGAGACCACTATTTCAATTGTGAATACTGATGAGAGTAAATAGTTTAATTAAAAAACCTACACAAATACATAATCAAATATCTTCGTCCCTGTTTGTATTATTTCTGTAAAATGTTGGAATCCGCAAAGTGTTCCATGTATATTTGTTGTTACATTTTCTGTTATGTAAAATTAGTTTTTCAAGTACTATTTCAATTAAATGTCAGAATAATTTGTTGCTTTCGTAAAGGAATGAGGTTGGCAACTATATTATGAAGTAATTTTTAACACTAATTTAAGTAGTGTAATGTCAGCAGTTGTATATTCAACATAATGTTTAAATTATAACAGATCAAGACTAAAATAACCGAATCACATGTCCGGGAGGGGGGATCCACAACTATAATGTCGTCGTTAACACAGTCAGGGTTTTCCGACCCCCCCCCCCCCCTTATTTCCCCAATTTCCTTCAAGAGTAGTGTGATTTAGGACTGATTTGCGACCGTTCTGCTTTTTTGTTTTATTCTATTTTGTTCTATAAGAATCATTAGCCAAGTCCCTCATTCATAATTACCCTCTACTCCCTCAGTCAACAGGTCAATATAATGTATATTGTCATTTTCTTTCTCCGTAATAGCACATTTCCGATCAAACATAATTATTTTCATCACCTCTGTCATTACCTATCAGTTATAAATAAACACGATTATATTGGTCTGAAAAAGAATCCAGGAACTATTGAAGTTAGTGCTAATTTCAGGTGTCAAGACTTGTTCATCATTATACAATATATTTTACTGTGTTAATAGCATTTCATTGTGGCAGCGATATTAATATAATTTATACATATTGCTGAATTTTGAATATATTTTTTGATGGGTATTTGGTAATTATTCAAAGGTATTGATTTGATCATATATTTTAGGAATCTAAGAAAATCGCTACATGTTTAGCTTGACTAGAAGTCTACTCTTATCTGTATAGTCTAACGAAATTGGACGATTTTACAGTCTAAAGTAGGCCTACCTCACAGTTAAGAGGAGGCAGGAAGGAAAGGTTGAACGTTTCAGGACGTCGATGCGAAAAGTTAACGTTCTGTCATAATACAAACGTTATAAGATTGATGGTAAACATAATATTGTTCAAAACTATACTTCATCCAAATATATCATCAAATGGCAATGGACGACTTCTATGATAAACAAGGATTGATCACTTCTATTTAATTTTTTCAAAACTTTATCCAGGAGGGACTGTTAAAATGTTAACATTAGGCAATCATTGTATCAATGCAGCTAGGTTACACTGGTGATAATCAATAAGAAAATGTACTTGTAGCGCCTGTAATTCAGTTTTCACTAAATTAATCGACAGATTGAGACCCTTTTGTGATAATGACAATAATAATAATAATGAAAATAATAATAGTATTAATATTAATGATAATAATAATAATAACAATAATAACAATAACAACAATAACGATAAAAATGATAATATAATAACGATAATAATAATGATAACAATTTAATTTAAACAGCTCCTTTTCCAGAGGTTACAATACGTTGTGTGTCGGCAAGGATCACTTAACGGGATAAATAACGGCGAATCGAGAGTAAGGGCAAGTGCCCCATCCACTCCTTCGGCAAAACCAAATCTGGCATAATTTTACAAAGAAGAATAGGTCCGTTATTATGCATTCCCCCACCCACAAAGGCATTTAAATGTGATAAGCCTTGCCTTTTTTTCTCCATCTCACCATATATCGAATATTTAGAGGTGCTAAAGACAAATTCCCATAATGCTAACAAAGAAATAAAATTAAAGTAAATAGACTCATTAACTTAGTACATCACATTATATTACGAAGGAAAGAGGTATTTTTGATTGCTGGTCAGATAATTAACAAGAATGAGGGCATCTGAGAAAAGGTAGTGACCCCCACCCCTTTTGTTGTTGTTGTTGCTTGTCATAGATTTTCGGGCTAATGCCTCCCGCTAGATTATCTTTGATCCGCCACTGCATAACCAAGCCCTCCAAATACTCGTCTTTATTTGTTAGCTTTATCTCTTGTATTGATATTCATTAAGTTAGTTGCGGTTGTTAATGTAGTGGAACATCCAAATAAAGCGAAAGTTCTCTAAAGGGATACAAATATACAAAACACCCGTCTGTGACACTTGTAAAAGGAAAGGTAATAGTTTGTAAAAATATGATCTGTAAAAGAAAACACACTACAAATCGCTTTGATATATACTACTACATTACATTCTTATTCTCAGGTGTTTTAATGCATTCGGGTGTTAAAATACATTTTCAGGTAATTTCATATAAATCATTTAAGATATGCATCAAATATCCGACATAACCATGATGGCAAGGAGCAAAAGGGTGATATACCCATATAATGTCTTGTTTCACCTTTTTTTTTTCTTTCAATGGCGTACACGGCCACTTCGCCCGCCTTCCTCCCGATATGTCTATGCATTATAACACATAAGAATACGAATCTGTAAAGACAAAACATTACTTCAAACGCTTAATTTCTTGGTGGTCTATTTGTACCTATATAAAGACACGTTTAAATGGTCTAATATTAAATATATGTTAATTCCGCAGTAAATTTTTACATGGACATTCTTTAGTTCACACTACACTGAACTACACTACATCGATAAAGATTTAAAGGAGCTACACAAAGAAAATTTACTAACAACTGATAATTAGAACAAATTACATATGGATGGAAAGATTTTCTCTTGAAAAACACGAATAATTTGCTGAGAAATCATATAGATATCAAGGAAATGCGTAAAATGCAATTTTTCAAGACCCTTCTTAGACCCCCCCCCCCCCCAAGCGACCCCAAACGTAAACCAAACACACGAGCGTAGCGAGCTCTGAATAGTGACGTCACACCCTGGACAAACAGCTCGGTACCGGCCGCATACCGGAGTCGCGCGTGTATTAGTCTGCAGCTAGACAGCCGTGTCCAGGGTGTGACGTTACAATAGTGACATCATACGAACGACTGCTGAAGGCAGTAAATCTGGATCTCAAAACTAACATTTTTGAAAGTTGATTTCTGCGGGCCCCAAACATATTTTGAAGAGGAAATTTGTAGTATTTGATCAGTAAGGCTTCCCCTTCGCAATAATATGAATTTTGCATCAATTCAATTCACTTTTGCTTCTTGGTGTGACTCCTTTAAATGTACTTATCGTGATATAAAAATTACATTTTTAAAAATCACTTTCAATATTACTATTTCAGACTCTAATACATTTATGCCAGTTTTATTCATTGTATTTGATTATTGCATATACGAAGTACGGAATACCTGATTAGACTGATTTGAAATTATTTAGTAGATGTTTATCTGATATAACTTTTGGCTAAATTAGACTGGTCCTCGTTCCATTGAATCTATAAACAGTACTTGCCTCTAACATATTTATAATGAAAAATAATGAATGATATACATGTATTGTGTGAAAGAAAGAATGGATTCCTTATAACCTTTACTATGTATGATTTTACCATGTAACTTATACTTGCATTTGCATAAGCCTTCTCGCATTTGCTCGGCGCATGTCTTTTTTATCATTGTTTATAATCTACAAACCTTGGTGTTGTCATCGACTCGAACTTGACTCTAAATCATCATGTATCTCACACATGCAAAGCCATTAGATTCCAACTCCGCACTCCTTCGCACATCCAAAGATTCCTGATACATAAGGCTACTGAAACCATGGTTCATTCCCTCATCTCTTCTCGCTTAGACTTTTGCAATTGTCTTCTAATACATCTTCCTGACTACCAGCTGCAACGCCTCCAACAACTCCAGAACTCAGCGGCCAGACTTGTAACGGTCACTAAAGGCACCACTCACATCTCACCCATCATCCAGGCACTGCACTGGCTTCCTATCCGCCAACGCATCATCTTCAAAGTCATTCTTCTCGTCTACCAAGCTCTCAACTGCACTGCACCCTCATACATACAAGACCTAGTACACCTCTACAAACCACCACGACGACTCCGCTCTGCCCACACCCAACTTCTTTGCATCCCACGTTTACGGCACTCCTGGGGAAGGCGATCATTTTCAAGTTCTGGCCCTGAACTGTGGAACTCACTCCCTCCTCACCTCCGAAATGAGACCTCCTACTCACAGTTCAAGTCTTTGTTAAAAACGTTTCTGTTCTCAAAATATTAGTTTGTTTAATTATGTCTTACATTGTACTACCCTTATATAACTTGTATTACTGTAATGTGCTTTGTATTGTATTTTATTATTGTATTATTGCAAATTATGTCCTGAAGCATGTTAAACTGTAACTTATATGTATTTTGCTTTCTTTCTTGAATTACTTGCCCACAATTATACAACTTCCACACAACTGCGCCAGGAGTGTCATTTTGACAGACATGGCGCATTATAAATGTTCCCTATTATTATTATTTTATTATTACTCATGAGGCTAGCAAAATCAATTTTCATGTTTGTGTCACTTTTTTCATGAAACTTAAGAACGCAATTATATATCTACCAACAATCGAACCAACTACATTTATTACGGCACTTTAATTTCCTTTGTTATGTACAGGATCACGACCAGAGTCGTAACACGAGCTCCACCCTGACTGAGCTGACAGTGTATGATCGCACACTAAAAGGATGGCAGGATTGTGGTTCGATGTTTGACAATGTGAAGACGGTTACTATTCGGGTAAAAGGGAGGACGCTCAACTGTGACGTCATCCAGAGGATCCATCTACCAGGAGCAACAGAACTCACCATTCGAACAGAAGAGTATGAAGACCAACCGGCTGGTTTCCACGAGGAGCCCACTTCACTACCCGATGCCCTCCTGAATATCTCCCCTCAGCTTGTCAAGGTGACATTCAGCGATCTTGACATTAGCAACAGTAAGATGGAACTAATCTTACAAGCTTTCAGATCACCTCACAACCTCAAACATCTGAAGACTCTCAGGTAAGACATCTTGTCATTTATTAAAACGAGTATCTTGACATATTTTTCCTTTTGATTTTCCTCTCTCTTTCTTTCTCTTTCTCTACCCCATCCTTTTCCTCTGTATATGAATTTTGTTCTCCAAATGATTATATATCAGTATTTTGTTATCATGAAGAATGGAAGAAAAATGGTTACAATGTTACATTAGGCATAACAACCGCTATTCATAATACAACATCGGGATCGATATTCATAATACGAGAAGTATTATACGTATACGCATTATCCCGTTATGAATAGCGACCCTCATTTCGTATTATGAATAACGGTCCTCATGAGTAGTGGCCCCCAATATAAATTATAAATAGCGTCCCATCATCACGTTTATGAATAACGACCCCGATTTCGTAATATGAATAGCGGTCCTTATGAGTAATGACCCTCAATGTGAATTGTGAATAGTGACCCTCATCTCACATTATGAATAGCGGTCCTGATGAATAACGGTCCTTATGCCTTTATGAATAGTGACCCCCTTTCAGTTTATGAATACCGGTCCTTCACATATAGGAAGTTACACGTCATGAAAAGCGGTCCGTGTGAATACGAATCATTATGAATAGCAAGGTTACCCCTGTGTCTGTGTCTGCCTCCCTCTCTCTCTTTCTCTCTCTCTCTGAATAGTGCATAACTGAAAATTAGAAATTGTAATATGTGCCAAGACAAGCATAAATGTGAAATGTTATCTTATCATGTTTATTGTAGAAATCGACATGGCTATCACTAATCATTACTCTGGTACAGCTAACGTAGTCGAGGAAGATTAAAGGTTGACATTGATAGTAAAAAAATTAAACAAGTTACTTACTGCTAAATGATACACAAATGTTTTATTTGAATTGAATTCACTGATAACAAGACTTAATTGAGTAGCCCTAAGTGCTAATGATGAACCAATCGAGAAGTCTAAATGATTAAAAATAAATTACATAATTATTACCAGCTATATTCCAAACATTGTTAGCTCCGATAACATGCCCCCATTCCTAATCAATTAACATCGACAAAACTGTATTCCGTTTAACTTGATATTGGTAGATTCATTAGATGCGGGACAGATTTGAGCGTGAATGATGTCACCACTGCCTGCAATGAAGACCACGTCATAGAGGTGGAGGTGGAGCACGGCAAACCACGTGGGTAAGTCAAGACTTGCATCGCCCTTAATGGCTGCATGACATTTATGTATGATTGCATGCAAGGGTGTCAATCCGGGGGACAGGGGGGGGGGGAATGTCCCCCCACGATTTTTTCCTAGGGGGAACATCATATCAAATGCCCCCCATGTTCTACACTGTCGCTCATAAAGGTGGAATTTTTTTTTTATTATTCCAATTCATGGAATTATTTAAAAAATAATTTAAAAATAATAGATCTAGATAATAGTATACATTCTCAGATTTTATTGAATAATAACTTGCCAATGTGTATTTTGCGTGACTGCTAAAGCATGTGTATGCTACTATGCTTATCAACTAGGGGACCTATGCCCTTAAGTCATAAATGACAGTAATGAGTATTAATGCCCCACAAAAGGGCACTAATATAGCACATCGACACGGTTTCGATCCTGGGGCCTCACAGTTACGAGGTCATTGCTTTGTCACTGAACCATGATTGTACGCAGCGGGGGCTAGAGTAGGGGGCAGTTTCAATAAATTAAAAAAAACACAGAAAATGCAATAAATTTTCAATAATTTATTGCATTTAACCCCGGTGCCTAACATAAAAAAAATTCTGTGTGCCCATGCCTTGAGTCATAATTCATGGCAGACCTGAGGATTTTTTTATGTTGGGGACCGGGGTAAAATGCAATAAATTATTGAAAATTTATTGCATTTTGTGCATTTTTTTTTAATTTATGGAAACTGCCCCCTACCCTAGCCCCCGCTGCGTACAGTCATGGTTCATAGACAAAACAATGGCCTCGTAACTGTGAGGCCCCAGGATCAAAACCGTGTCGATGTGCTATATTAGTGCCATTTTGTGGGGCATTAATCCTCATTACTGTCATTTATGACTTGAGAGCGTAGGTCCCCTGGTTAATAAGCATAGTAGCATACACATGCTTTAGCAGTTCCGCAAAACACACATTGGCAAGTTATTATTCAATAGAATCTAAGAATGTATACTATTATCTATATCTATTATTTTTAAATAACTTTTAAAATAATTCCATAAATTGGGGTAAAACTAAAATATTCCACCTTTATGAGCGACAGTGTATTAGAAAAGAAGAGGGACCACCAGGAACAACGATTTTGTATACAAAATCTCACGAATTTGTCACAAAAAAAAATTAAAAATTATTGCCTCTTACCCCCCCCCCCCCCCCCCCCCCGCTTCTGTATTATGACATTTTCTAAGTAATATATTCAGATAACAGATTAGTCCAAGTAATTCTGTTAAACGTAAGGCAGTATGATATTTGGGCTCTCTCTTCTTTGCCCTCCGTTTACCGCTCTATGTGCTAATGTTGATGTATTGCTGCTTCTACGTTGATGCACACATGTTAACTTTAATATCTCTCTCTCTCTCTCTCTCTCTTCTCTCACGTCAGTGAATATTTTCAGTAATCAGGTAGATGGACCCGTACTCGATCTGACAAATCAGACGGATCAGACGATCTTTCCTCGAAAAGAAGAAATATCTGCTGAAGTGAAAACTACATGAAAACACCATTATAGACGTATCGGATAATCGCTCAACGTTTAATTTAAAATCCCGACTAAGAATTATAGTTTGTCATGCAATCGAGTTAGTTACTCACCCAATGAATCACGTTGATATTCATTTAATATTACATGATTGTTTATTCTTTACATCGGTTTTGTGGCTCTTTTTCTTTCATTGAAGAAATTATGATTTTGAATTCTCTTCGAAATGTTACTCTCAGTGCATTCGGTAGTTCATTCATTAAATGTACTTTAAAGAGCGTTACAGGGATTTGCACGGCAAATTTCAAAACTTGTAAAATATCATAATTGAAACTATCCTAAAAGTACGGTGGCAAAGTTGTAATTATGAGAAAAGATTACAGTAATTTTTCCTTCCGAATTTAGACTCGCAGCGATTTATTTAACACATTTGTTGTGTACAAAATTGGGGTTTCAATTTTCACATATTTACACAAAAGTCTTTTGATCTGAAATTTGTGCACAAACTTTCATAAACTGATATTGCTGTAACAGATTAATTTTTAAAAAGGTTTCCACGTGATTGCAAATCCCTGATAGGAGCTTTAAACATATACATGTATAATTAAATTAAAATGTATTCTCATGGAAGAAGAGCCTGCTCAGTGAATCTGGACATTTGACAATTCTTCAGAGTTAGGACGTCTGTTAATAAGGTGATGATTTGACGCGAGCTGTCATTGTGAAGGGAATCGGATAGAGTTAAAATGTAATAAAAATGTGGTTGTTAATGCCTGACAAAATTAGAATCCATCAGAGTGTTCAGTGTCATGGACGGATGAAATACCAACAGGCAACACTAAATATCCAATCAGACTTAGGACATAGAGTTATTCACGCTATAGTCACGTGACTTTTCAAAATACCAGTACATCTTTACTCCTAATAACTACAACAATGTTGCCTGCCTTGTTACTCAGCTGTAAATATAGTGCATTCCTAAGATTTATTTTATACATAACTACATTCGGAATGGATAATATGTTATCGTTCAGAATTATTTGTGTGAGTAGCGCAGTAGAGTATATTTATATAGTGGCTGCGCTATATAAATTGATTTAATTATTATAATTGCAATGGAGCTCAATGCACACGAGGCATATAATTTGAAGAGCGTTACAGGGATTTGCACGGTGCAAATTTCAAAACTTATAAAGGACCCGAAATGTTGTAAAATATCATAATTGACAAAGTTGTAATTAGTAGAAAAGATTACAGTAATTTTTCTTGCCGAATTTAAACTGGCAGTTTTTATTCACCACATTTGTAATGTACCAAACTGGGGCTTCAATATGCACATATTGACACAATCTTTTTATCTGAAATTTGTGCATATAATTTCATAAACTGATATTGCTATTAAAGATAACTTTTGAAATAGGTTTCAGAGGGATTGCAAATCCCTAGTGGCTTTAAACACATGCATGTATAATGAAATTAAAATGTGTTCTCATGGAAGATGAACCTGCTCAGTTAATCATGGACATTTGACAAATCTTCAGGGTGGGATGTCTGTAAATAAGGTGATTACTTGATGTGAGCTGTCATTGTGAAGGGAATCGGATAGAGAGTTGTAATGTAATAGAAATGTGGTTGTTAATGGTTGCCTGACAAAATTAGAATCCATCAGAGTGTTCAATGTCATGGACGAATGAAATATCAACAGGCAACACTAAATATCAAATCAGGCTTAGGATAGAGAGTTATTGACGCTATAGTCACGTGACTTTTCAAAATACCAGTACATCTTTACTCCTAATAACTGCAACAATGTTGCCTGCCTTGTTACTCAGCTGTAAATATAGTGCATTCCTAAGATTTATTTACATAACTACATTTGGAATGGATAATATGTTATCGTTCATAATTATTTGTGTGGTTAGCGCAGTAAAGTATATTTATATAGTGGCTGCGCTATATAAATTGATCTAAATGACTGCGTCAGCGACTGGCGTAGGCATTGACGCACCGTGCGAGAGTAATACCGTTACACAAAGTGAGTGCAAATCGAACAGTGCAAACCTTTCTTCAAATTAAGGGCGTGGTAGTCCCAACTGAATCTCCTCAATCTGTTAGGGCATGTATTAATACAGTGTAAACACTGCCTCGTGTGCAATGAGCATTGTATAAATGATGTCTGTGCCATTATAATCAATCGCCTTTTATGGTTTGTTTTATTACCTTTTATGTACAAAATAGTGTGGTCTTTTCAGAGCCAGAAGGCCTGTTTTAAATGAAAATTTTGGATGTATCTACAAACATATTTTACAGTTAAAACCACACAGCATATGAAATGGCAGTAATGGGCGGACTTAAAATCAAATGTTTATGATAGAGAATGTACCGGAAGAAAATTGAATAATGAACTATGACATGAATGCATACAAAGAACAAACGAAAGAGCAAATGAACAAAAAATCGAAACAAATATAGTGATCTCCTTCCAAAATTCCCAATAATTCTTTACTTTGATATTAATAAACGTGGATACAACTCAATATTGATATATAATTGAGATGTGCAAGCTAGCGATAATTTCAGTTCCGGTTCTTATGTGATTTCAAACAACAAAAGTTTTAATACGGTAAATCTATCCACAAACAGACTATTGAGTAAATGTATCTAGTCATGTATCCGCCATGGCTCTTGTAAAGAGGACAAATGAAGACCACATTTCATTCACAAATATAACGCTGTATTCTTGTGTTATCTAATATAACTTGTATATGAACTCTTGCATGTGGTACTTAAAAGGTTTGTTTGTATTTCTTAAATCTTAATTTGGAAAGGGAAACTATTTTGTTTGCTATATAATTATATGAGTTGTTAATTTTGTCTGTATATAATTTGTAAATAATGTAGCCAAATGATCGGTGCCAATAAAAAGGAGTGTGTTTGTATATGAATGTCATTTATCCAAGCAGATAATTTGCTACAAGTTCAACTCGTGATTGTACACTATTAAAGTCGATAAAAGAACATTATTTAGTGTAATTCACGAAGCATTAAGCTTAACTTTCGGAATACTTTCTGCAATCTTTGTAAATATGGTAAACGTGCACTGAGACATTTCTGCATTATGCGAAGAAACTTTAAAGGTACTATGTCCCATTTGCAGGCCCCAAAAATGAAAACGTTAAATTCCAATGGCATTTGAAAGATAATACTCATTTTGAACTCCCCGTAAAAAGGGGGCTTGAAAGTGTCTTTAAGAGTGAAAATAACGACTATTAGTTGTCAAATCGACTTAGGAGCTATAGAGCCAATAAGTAATAGTTTTGATTTTCAGGCCATTGTACGTTTTATGCTGCGCAAAGATTCAATCAGTTTAATTTTGGTCATTACAAAAAGTGGGTTATTGATGTAGACAAATCCTTTACAGCTCATTTTATGTTTTGTTATTACCAAAAAGAAAAAAGCCAGTCACTCACCCAATACTGACAATAGTGTCTTACAGTGAAGTCTAGCAAGTAATTGCATAATTTGAATATAAGAAGAC